CGGCGGCCGCTCTTCAAATCTGGGCGGAGCTAAATACCGGCCGGCGACCGCTCCAAAGAAATCTACCGGCTGGTGGCCGCTCGAACGGCCGCCAGCCGGTAACACTGCCATGTCGCGGTAAGTGAACGGGATTTGAAAGTTGCATGATTGAGCCGCGTAAGCAAACGCTCTACTTCTCCTCGTTTATGATTAAGCGCCATTTTTCTACTTCATTCATGTCTTGTTTACGTAATTTATCGTTAGAAGAAGGTTTTGTATGCTTGTCACTCAAAAATACCTAGAATTCCGTAGTGATCTTACTTCTTTGCTAATACCGCCCTCTTTTTCACAATCAAAAGAAAATCCCAATGACATCTGTAGCGCCTTTTTCAGATTTGTTGCTTGTCTTGTATGGCGATAAAGAAGTGACACGCAGAGCTGGAACATACTGACTGAGGGGTACAAGGCTTGAATTTCGCTCAGCTTCTTGACTAAACAAAAAAGAACGAATGGGCACGTTTCATAACCATCTTTTTCAGGAGACAAATGCGATATGCATGGTATTGAGATCTTGCGCTATGCAACCAGCGCACCATTGCTTGTACTCGCTGTTTATCATCCTTACTTTCGACTAACTCTTTATGTATCTCAGCACTATGCATTCATGAATTACGTGTGTACTACATGTCACACATTTCTATGGGAATTGGAATCTATCTAGTTTGTGTTCTGCTGCAAGACTACTGACCTTACGCCTAACTCCTAGTATAGACTCCACAAGACAGGTGCGTTCTTATCAAAAATTTGGAACTAGTCCTTGTGTGTTTCAGGGAAAACAACGTTCATTACTTGTCTGCTACAATTGCTTGAGCTTTTTGATTTGCTCTGCCCAGTCATATATAACACTGTCGGTAAGTTTTGGTGTTAACGGGATCATTTGTAAGTACCCTCGATATTAACCCATATGTCTTCCTTCAATGACGTGGATTATGTGGATTGGTGAGGCGCCGCCTCGCTTCGGCTTGCGCCAAATTGCGGGCGCATCGTTTAGCGTGACCTGGTGCACTAAATAAGATGGACCAGGCTTAATAATGTTGTTCTTCTTGCCACACCATGCCAAAGAGGCGCACGTAACGCGTGGCGCAAGCTTGAAGCGAGGTGGCGCCTCACCAATCCATGTAAATCCATGTAATTCACGTCATGTTGAGGGAAGACATATGGGTTGATATCGAGGGTAGCTTATCTCATTTGCAGATCGTCTGCTATGTGGCATTTACATGATACAAAAGTGAACTTTTTTTTCAGTCCGGAATCAGCAGAAGGACGATATGCGAGCCCTTGTCGCGAATGGATGGTACTATGCAAGAAAACCTCGTCTTCCGTGTACAAAAAGAAGCGTCCAAATTTGTAGCGATAGTTGCATGTTGTATGAGACTTTACGCTATTATTCAATCTCATTTATGTATGTTTCCCTATATGATGCAGTTACAATAAATATATTCGTACGGATTTGTATTTGCTTGTATTGAGGATAGGCGGCAGAGCGAAATAAATACGGAAAAAGAGAAACCGCGTCACATGGCCATTTCGTATCGCGGCGCCCACATGCCGGCTGGCGGCCGTACCTTTCCGGCCGGCGGCCGTCCGAATACCGGCCGGTGGTCGTAGACTACGCGGCTGAGTGAAATCACCTGTGGTCCCACCAGCCGGCCGTCGAACGGTCGCCGGCCGGTGCGAGTGTCTGAGCGTCGCGTCTCTACACAATAAGGCCCCGTTCGGAAACTGGCGTCTATTCAAAACACCCGCTGAAGCATACACGTGGGCGGACCATCCTCGCCGTCTCTTTTTTTGGGATCGGGTTTATATTATAGGAGAGGATTGGTTGAAGATGTCAGCAACTGCAACTTCATAGGCTTTGAAAGGCAGGTGTTGTTCTACCAAATATTGAAAGATTTAGGTCATTTGAGCAGTGGCCGCCGAGAACGAGAAATCAAAAAAAAATTGAGCAAATTCAAGTTACTTAGTGACAGCTGACAATTAAACTCATATAGATCTTGAATGTGAAAGTGTGTAATGTTGCAATTTATAGGTTTTGTAGAGTAAGGTTTGCCTTTACATATCTTAACCGTACCGATCTATTGAGATACCGCCGAGGGCTATCAAAAAAACAGGTAAAAAACCGCTTTTTGAACTTCAACAGCTCATAACTTTAAGAGAATGGCATGAATAATGTTGCGACTTCATAGGTTGGATTCTCCTCTTCAAGAGCTATTAGATGATTTATAATATGTGGGGGTTTGGGATCTCCTACGACTTATGCCCGGGGGAGGAAGCTTTTCACCACAAAGTTTCCCCTGGCGGCCTCCAACCAATACATTAAAGTGGGCTGGGGGAGAATTTGTGACGAAAAGCCTGCATCCCGGGCATATGCCATGAGAGACGCGAAGCCCTCACGTATTATATATCATCTAAAAGCTCTTGAAGAGGAAAATCCAACCTATGGAGTCGCAACATCACACACTCTCACATTAAAGATTTATATGAGTTTAATTGTCAGGAGCCATTAAACACGCTAAAAAGGCGCAATTTTTTAGAATTCTGGTTTTCGGCGACTATCTCTCAAATCGACTCGATTTCTCCAGTGTCTAATGGACACCATTCACTCTTCAAAACCTACGAAGTTTTAATTGCTGATATCTTCAAACACCAGCACACCTTCATAACAGGGGAGATCTCGCACGATTTTTCGTTATATTATTATTCAATATTCTGGTTCTCGGCGCTTACTCCCTGAATCGACCTACTTTCTTCGCAGTACGCTATAAAAAAAAATTACTTGATAAAATCGACGGCGAGTTTCTAATTAAACGAGAAAATAGCTTTGAGTAACCTTGGAATTTGTTCTGCTTATTTCTCCTTTTTATTAAGCTGGAAACTAAGTTTTGCAACTGGTCTCATAACTTCACTCTCTTTGGATCTGGCGCACACAAGCTTTGGCATCATGTAGAAGGCAATGTGAGCTATAAGCAAGCACAAACTGTTCAAATTTTGAACACGAAATAGAAAAGTTTCAGGTGTTTTTCGAAAACCAGTGAAATTTGAGAATTTTTGGGGCTTTAAGCTAAAATGGAGCCTTTGGCAGCCTAGACCATGCAGTAATCCGGATTCGTCTACAAATTATTGCTGGAAATTGACTTCTTTGGCCTATTAAAAAAGAAACAAAATATAGGGCATGTCGAGATTGGCGTCCTCATAAAGTCGAACGAGTAGATGTACGCAAGAGTCGCTAGGGACGACCGTCAATGACTAAAGAGTCCGAAGCTCGAATTCCGCCGAGACTTTAAATAGTAAGGTTATTTGACCTGCCAACCGCGAATATCACATTCATTTTTTGAATCAACGCCTTTTTCCTTGTTTAGGATGAGACCCCATATCGTACACCTACAGTAATCCTAGAAAAAAGCCCTTATCACGCTATTTCACTATCGTTTTCGTGATCACCATGTCGAATAACACCCCTATGCCAAGTTTCAGCCAAATATGTCAAACTTTGAATTTTTGACCTTCATACCATGCACCTACCGTAACCCTCACTGCGGCGTCAGAATTTGGTAGGACAGCAACTGCGCTTGTAGCTTACGTAATAACAACGCAGTGGCAAGATTTGAGTGCGCCATGTTGAGTGAGAGGGAAGTTATGAGACCAGTTGCAAAACTTAGTTTCCAACCTAATATTGTAAAGAAGTCAATTGAATTTTTGAGGAAGAAATTTTCTGCGAAAAGAGAAGTCGAGCTGTGCTCTCCCCCCCCCCCCTCCCGGTCGACGTTTTTGGGAGCTAAGTGTCCGGCACTACCACCTTCAGTTTTAAGGGGCCCGGCTCCACCTATCGCACGTCTGGTTGCATCTTTCCAAACCTGTCAGTCAAGACTCATAAAATTTTTCACAAATTCGCCTTTAGCGCGTATCGCTATTGTCTCAAATTTCAGGCTAGAGAATTTTTGCGACACATATTCCAGCCATAATATCATTAGGCGGATACAAAAAAGATGTCCGTTTTGCGAATTCTCATTTTGACGTGCTATAACATTTTGAAAAATCTACTCCTGAATGCGATAGAAACCTTCACAAGCAGCAACTTTCTGCAATGCAGCGCATATACACCTATACTTATTCTCACACTGAAAGGGAAATATGGAAAGGTAGACCAGAATTTTTTCTAAAACCTTGTTCTTACCAAGTCATACTTTCTTCAAAGTTTTCACTAACAATAAATGATAAGTAGCCTATCTTGTGGCAGGAAGCCATTAGTACAAAAAACGATGGGCAAGGCTTGGACAAAAAAGATTTGCGAAAAAAAAAAGCTGAAGTCGAAGATTGTCAGCTATGCTCAGCATTTTTCAGTAGGCCTCAAACACCCGAATTATAATATTCTGATTTTCTGCTTATTGAACGGTTGAATGATTTTGCAAAGCAGTCAACGGATGCCCTACCCTTACGCCTACAGAAGTGAGCAAAGCTCTGGCGATTGCCTTCTTCAAAGAAATTTATGGGTCATGAATCTGACGCAGCTACTCATGTTGAAAAGCCGATATCTCAGTATAGACAATCTCTTATAAAATAGTGAAAAATGTCTAATGTAGAGAACTTCTTTTTCATACCTATAAATTTTCGAAGAAGCGCTACTTATTCGCCCATGACTGGCAACAAAAGTGAATGCTGTGAGGTTCTGATTTTAAATTCCTTAATTCGAAGCTTTGCAGCTATGAAATGGATGAGGCTAGACGCTCGCTTTGATAATCATTAGATAAAGCCTAAAAAGAGCTCTCAAAGGTGTTATTAGTTTCAAAAAAATTCTGCTGGAAAAAGTTGTTCTAAAAAAGGCCTGGAAAAACGGCCATTATTTTTGCATCAACCTAATAAATCAAAGATCTTGCACGCCATAGTCGTGATGTTACTCCTATGTACACTAATCATTGATTGAGGCCTGCTTGGTAATATTTATTAGGTGACTAGCTAAAAATGGCCGAAGCGCAGCTTCACGCATGTGGGCGTTCCATTCTTGTCAGATATGCTTGGCATTCAGCGTTGAATACGGCACCAAATTCCTTCCACGCCTGTTTCTGCTCTGCAGTCAAAGCTGCCCCCTTGCTCTCTAGAAATCCTATCCAGTAATCCCAAAATGGCTGAAAATGAAAGTGTTGTGTGCTCCAGTTAAGCGGAGAAAGTCTATTGTGTGAATAAACATAAAAAAGTCACCTTCCAAAGTTCAGGGTCGATTGATCTATCGAAATGCTCGTACATAACTCTGCGAACAAATGCTCGATACACCGATTCCTGGAAAATTGACAATGAACATGAGTGAGCATGAAATTCAGTGCTTACGTTTTCGCATACGTTAGCCAAGACGTGAACGAACAAGAGTATAGCGTCTCCCAGTTTGTCAAATCTGCAAAATTACGCACGCTCACAAACAGCGAACTTTCACTACTCGCCTCTCGCTCTTCGCCACATCGTCGCCAGTGTAGTTCTCAGCACCTTTGTAGAAGTGGCGGTGTTCAGGATGAGAAGTGAAAAAACTGAACGACGTGATTTGGCTTCCGCGGAGTCAAACGCGTTCATAACGTACTATTTGTAGAAGTCCCTTCCGTGATGACCATCACCAAGTGGTGCTACCTTGAGCGACTCAACTGTATGCCTTCTGACGTCAGCGGGCTTCCTTGAAGAGCAATAATGACATTATAGCACAATTTTTTTCAGCAAAAACAAAACGTGTGCAGTTGGGCTTAAACTTGCATGTGGAATTGGGAAGAAAGTGCTGCAAAAGTTTCAGCTTTCTAAACTTATGCATCTCTCCAAACTGAAAGTACAGAAATCGCAAAATAATCGACTCAAATCGCATCTAAAAAGCGCAAAAACCCAACGTGTATAATAAAAACTCTGTTTTTCAAATTTGAAGAACTCACATCACGCCACAGCAGATGGTACTGAAAAAGTGAAATTTAGAACTTCCCAGACGTCAGCCGTGGATGAAAACGATTTGAAGTTAGTGTGAAGGAGATCAATAACGAAATCACACAACATAAGACAAACGATACTCTGCCAGACATCAAGTAATCATGTACTTTTTTTTGGACGTTCAACGAAGATCAAAACATTTGAAGCTACAGTACCGCAAAGTTTGACTTTGCAGGCAGGATGTTTTATTAGTTTGAATGTTATGTAGAACGCTTTACACATTCTGAGTCCCTCCGTGCCATATTTATCACTTCGAGCACGCCAGCGAATGCCCGTTTCTAAGGGATAATCTCTAATTAGTGCAAAGCCCAATTTCAGAGTAGTAATGGATATACGTGACATTTGCACAGAATGAGGTATGAATAGTTTTGTTACACTAACAAAAAGGGATAAGCAAAAACTTTGCAAACTTGAATCGGCTTGAAAAATTACTATTTGTTTGGTCCTTTCTTACAGCTCTAATAAAACATGCATAAAGTCAAAAAATGATGTGGCACTGCTCATGGTGCACGTTGAATTTGAGAACTATCCATGAGTGGAAAATACTGCAAAGGTAATTTAGCTCAATCTGAGAATTTAAATCCATTACCTACAAACACTTCCCCTGAAGGCGCCGTCCACCCAAATTCTCGAATTTCACGTCTTTCGTTTCAGGGTCTTCTCAGTCCCCAATTCCGAATATGAAGTCGAGGAGTCCGCGAAAACCCAGACAATCTCCGTTCCGAATAACCCATAGGCCGGTTCTCCGGAACGGTGATTGGATGGACGCGCACGGATGGGCGGGCATGGATGGGGGGGGGGGGCGGCGCCATCGGGGTCCTCGTGCATCCTCGTTCTTCCGGAGCGATTTTGTCGCTTCGGAGGGATATTTTGCTCCGCGACTTGGGCATTGGCTTGATAGGGGGTTCTACTATCATATGCTCAAAAGCTCAAGACCCTCAACTGAGGGTGTACAGTGCCTTTGCGGCTACGGTAGATTGCTGCTGGTGACGATATAGACCGCAATATACAAAGAGAGTTGGTCCATTCAACTGTCTCAAGAGTAATGAATAGTCTTTCTCAGGTGCTTCCGCTGTGAAGTTTCAGAACACATTTTCAACACTGCTTATTCTCACGAGAATGTAATTTGCACCGATATTTTGTTACCGATGATAGATTAATTTGAGATCTGCAAGCCCTTCATCAAGAAAATTTGTCCTAATTCGCGGCGTTTTTCTCGCACACGTTTATAAAAAAGGTTTTAGGTGTTTTTAGTGTCTTTTTACAACGTAGTCTCTACATGTAACTCTAATTGGGCGTAACCGGCATCAATATAAGCAACACAGCCAGAGAGCCACCAGTAACAAGCTCTACTTGAAACTTCTCCCAAACAAATGGATTGAAAAACTCATTTTAGCCTTAATGCCAAAGACATTACGAGAATCCTTAGCTTCTCCTTTGTTTGTTGCTAATCAAAATTTGAATTGTCTTATATTGCATCTACTTGCATGCTCAAAATCTAACCAAACAACAAACAACATTAACCATCTTACGCGAAAGTAGTTGTTAACGAGCAGGAATTATATTCTGCTTGATTTTATTGCTTGCAGAAGTTCACATCTTCCGGCAAAAATGTAAGTTTCCATGTTCTGCTTCTATCAGTTATCCGAGCACGACTGGAAGCTTTATAGATTATAATGGGAAAAGTGTACTTTATACTATATCACATTCGATTTCGTTTTCAAGCTCATAACTTGCAAACGGTTAAGTGTACAGGTTACTCTTTAAAATGTGACGACTGGTTTGACTGCGATCTTTGCGAAAGCAGGAGCATACAACACCACACAAAAAGGAGTCACCTCAACGCACTTAGCCAACTCCAGGGTCTACTGTCATAGACAAGCAGAAAACCATTCGAAAACAAGCAGAAAACCATTCGAGTACAGATAAATACAAGGTTGCTGAAAGTGTATTCGTGTCGCGCGCATTCGCGTCAGCGTTACGAGTTTCGATTGCCCTGTAGATTTACGGCAGTAGGATCTGCAGTCGCAATGCCGTCCGCCGCGCTAAAAGCTATCTTTCAGAAACGTGAAAAGATTCAGTGTCAATAATTACCACAGATGCTGTTTACCAACCAAAAAAGTATCACTTTAAGCTTGGCTTCTGTACTTCGCATCACAGCTTTCACTATAATGTTCAATTTCTAATTGCTAGAACAGTGCGTGAGCCGTGTTGAACAACATAGCTTTGCTTGGTTTTCATCATTCTCTATCTAACTATTCGCTATTGTGTGAGCTTGGAAAAAGGAGACAACTGTAAACTTTAGATCCTGAACTCTATAGCGTTTAGTTGCGGTCACTGGACTGTTGCTGTTGTATGAAGTTGGAAATGCCAATTCTTTTTCCAAGAATATCTTGGAAATGACTAGATAAGAGATATCTCAGCTCAGTCCAAAGCTCTCTCCAACGCGGCTTCATTGCGACACACCAATTCTTAGACTGCTTTAGGCATCCAACCGACGTTACGAAACATACGGTTGCATCACTTCGAGTGGCTCCTGTCAACGATGGCCATCATGGAAGAGACTTCTATAAATTGTTAGAGGTAAAATCTATGATTCAAGTATTTCATTAAAAGATTCAGCTTTTTTACCACCCATCCTGAACACCGTCGCTTCTACAAGGGAGCCGAAAGTTATAGTGGTGAAGATGTACTGAAAAGCGAAAGGTCAGAGATAAGAGTTTTGGTAGAATATTCCATTGCTATTTTGTTGCAGATTCGACAAGCTGGGGGATGCCATTTTGCTGTTCGTTCACGTTTTGGCTAACACGTATGAAAATGTAAGCTTCACGCATGTTGATTAAACCACTTGAATAAGCATATGCTTCTGAGGAATCCGTCTTCCGCTCTTTTGTTCGCAGAGTGATGATTGAGCATTTTGGAAGAGACGTCGATCCTCCACTTTGGAAGGTTGGGTCCTGAACAATAGCAAAACCTCAAACTAAGCCATATCCTTTCAGAGTTTCTGGGAGTATTGGACAGCTTTCTTGATTAGCAAAGGAGCGGACCTTTCTCCTGAGCAAGAGCTGGCGTGGCAAGCATTGGGCACGAGATTCAACGAAGAAGCCCAGTCATACTTGGCAAAAGTGGGACGCCCACATGCTTGAATTTCAGCACTGATTTGATATAAATGATATTGGTACAGGAATAAACTCATTAGATGTGTTACTGTGTAAGAGACGCAGAAGTATGCAAGAAAATAATAAATATTGCTTTCAGGTTTTTTTGAGCTAGGCATTTTTTGCATAGTGGTGTGTGCCTTAAATACGTTACCGCTCATAATTGCGAAACGCGCCGGTTAGCTGAGTTGTGTGACATCACAATAGCGTGACCATATTACGCCGAGTACGAAGTTTGAATTCAAGAGTATCATTTGATTCAGTTAACGAGTTGCATCTTTCGCCTGTTTGAATCGTTGGACAGTAAGTAGCCAGAGTTTACGAACGGATACAAATCTCGCTGCAATAGAGCAGTCAGTGTGCACTGATTAAGTATCTTGAGTAAACTAGGTGAGCAAAATTCTGATAAGATTTGCGAGACTTAGCTGCCTATCGAACACATAAAATATCCAAACAGGTGCCTCTATATATGAGAAGATGCGTGGAGCTGCGAGTGGTGCGATTGGGATCAGTAATCAGTACAGGGCTTGGCACAGCTGGCATCGTGTCAAGCTGAATATCGCTTTTGGGAAAAGCAAAGGAAATATCGTTTTGCGGCCAAAAAACAATTACTGTAACGCTTTTTTTGCCGACGTTTCGTCTTCTGAGGGTTTTTTTTTGCGTTTAGGATATAGGTTCAAAGGGGACTTCGTACGATTTGCAGGACCAAAGGGGACTTTATTTCGAAATTTTTTTGGTGCTAGCTCGTACCGAGCCCTGGATAGTCGCTCGTTTGAAAGAGCGAGACATGGCCCCTTATGGTGACGCCATCTAACTCATTGTTCGATGGCCGGCATGTCTTTGAGTTATGAGCGGTATTGTGTGTTGATTCGAAATTGGCGCAAACATTACTTCCAGGTTTCTTTTTTGTTGAGTTCGGCATGCACTATCGTAGTGGTGTGCGCTTTAATATGTCAATTCAAAATTGGCAAAAATTTACACAGACACGTACCAATCCCCAATTGGCTTACTAGGCACTCGCCAAATCAGCATTGTTTCAAGCAACTGTTCTTCTTTTTAGTAGTGTACAGTACATTACCACAATTCAAGAATTTCTCCAAGACTGTAGGGTGATAGCCCAAGCATGTCGAAAGAAAACCTCCAAAAGCCGGAACTCTATTCTGCGCCTATGGCAATATGGGAATCCACATTTTGGTGTATTTACACTTAAGATCTTTATTTAATTAACAAGCTGGTACCAATTCTAGTAATTGGACAAATGACGAGTGGTTCACAATGATGTGGAACGAATGAGAGCTTCCGGGACTACCTATTTCAAAGGTATACTTTGTAACCACTGGCCCTCGAATCTGCGCGTATCTGCGAAATTTTTTTCAGTGGATACAACCTTATTCTTTCCGAATCCCTCTGTACCTCGAATTTTACACCAATGTTATAATACGGTGTGGGTGTAAAAAGAGTGGAGAGTTACCCTTTGACTCAGCTGGATTGGCGGCTGGAAGGCGAGGCTTCGTGACCTAGAAGACTAGAGAATGATCAATGAATCAGAGACGCAGACCGCGTCGCGGGCGACGGGAACTTGGTTAGGTCACAAAAACCGCCTTCCAGCCGCCAAGCCAGTTAAATCAAAGGTACAATGTATACAGTCTGCCCGATCCCAATCAGGCCGCGTTAGGGTTTTGCGTCACGCCTATGGCCTGCTTGCCTGCTCTCTCTTCCATCTCTTCGCTCTCTTTGACTCTGCGCATACGCGGCGCAGAGTAGTGACGCGCGTGCGCGCAAATCTGGCCAAGGGTTTGGCCTGTTTCCGATCGAGGCATACTATATGACTGGCTACTATTCCCTCCCCCCCCCCCGGCCTCTCGAATGCAAGGTTCAATCAGCCGTTGGTCCTCGGTCCTAACTTGGAAAGAAGAACTTGGCAGAGCACCGATCGTGGAGCATGAACAATTGCTTGCGCTGAAATTTCTTTGAATCTAAGCACACATGTATAAATAGATCAAGGTAACGTAACGCCATTCTCACAACTTAGCCAAAAATTGTGCTTCTCTTTGCAACGGAAACACTGCTCCCATGCTCATTCTGTTTTGATGAAGGATAAATGGTGACTATGAGAAGCAAGCTCACAAAAATTAAATTACCATTCATTCATTAAGACTTTACTGCATATCTTACAATTGTGTTCATGGAAACGGAATCTGGAAACGGAATCAGCGTTAACGATCGTCGTTGCTCACGGCTGTTCTTTCGATCGACTTGCAAGTACTGATCACTGTTGTTCAGCAGAATGTTATGCTGATTTGGCGAACTTAGCCTAAATTCGAGGTTTTGATTGGTTGTGTAAATATTTAGCTTCGACCGTGGAATTAGAGAATTTTCAAACTAAAAAAACTGAATAGCTCACCTTCGCATGGTTGTGTAATCATGACTACATCGCGATGGTCTTGCACGGAATATACTCCTACTTCGACAATGTAAAGCCGGTGATGAGTCGCCTTGACTGATGGGACCGGCTAAACGTGTTTCATCTGAACTTATGTGCAATCCTGATTATAAACAAAAACAGCGCTAAAGAGAACCTCATATCATAATAATCAATCAAATTTGCCTTAGTTCCCCAGTTGCAGGTAAATTTCTAGGCAGAAAATCGCTCAAAAGTCTAGAAGTAGCTGCTATTACTGGATCCTCCTCGGCCCTCCTTTCAAGAGGCTCGGCAGTCAGTGGTAGCTGCATCAGACAAAGGGGATTTTGCTATTGGCTACCGTGCGCCCTGATACGACTACAGTTGATCGAAGTAGTAGGTCGGGGATGAGACGGCACTGGATTAGCGTTGGAAGGCGGGGCTGACCTAGTTAAGACTAGAGAATGATTAGAGAGCATGTTCGCAAGAGAGACGCAGACTAAGTCGCGGGCGCAAGCGGTCGCCTTCCAGCCGCCAATCTCGTTAGCGTGTGCCTTCATACCGCGCCGGCAGCCGCGCAAGTCTCCTTCGAGTACTATTTCATTATCCAGATCCCAATCGAAAGCACAAATCTTGCTCAAACTTAGTGTAGTGGAGTTACTCGTCATGTTTATTACAAATAGCATACTCTTTTATCTTTTTGTGAAGGCATTGGAATACTGGGAAAGTGCACAAAAGCGGCTAAAGGCGGCTAGCGGCGGCTGCCGGCGCGGTATGAAGGCACCCTTATATCAAAGGGTATGAGTTTGGTGCGATTTCAACATCATCGAATGGCCCGACAAGTGTCCGTAGAGGCAGTAGACCGGCAGAATGAGACCGGTGACAAAACAAGGTCACAGGGTAGGAGCCCCCATATGGAACCTATCCGCCTAAGTCCGATTTTTCTCTGCCACTTCCAACCCCGAAATTTCAACGCGGAAGCAAGCAGCGCTCATCTCCTGTATTCTCTGGCCTCGCCCATCCCATGGTGGGCGGGGCCAGAGAATACAGGAGGTGAGCGCTGTTTCCGCGTTGAAATACTTTGGCCGATAGGCTCCATATGGGGGGGGGGGCTCCTACCCTGTGAGCTTGTTTTGTCACGGGTCTTATTCTGCCGATCTACAGCCTTTAATACACTATATGCACTCGCGAGTAGCCCGATATGCACCTGGTATCGAGTGTGAAGATTTTTGCACGTGTTTCCATTCGCAAGCATAAATATTCTTCACAAAAATGAAGGTGATGTCTAGACCACATTAGCAAAAGTTCAATCAACCCCTACAGGTTCCAAAACCAACGCAGTGGTGGCAACCCGAACGCTGTTGACAACCACAACGTTGACTTTAATCGGATTTTAACTTACGAAGCGAGTAAAGGGCAGCCCCATGAGTGCGGCGTATCTTACGCGATTAACGTTTCCTCTTACAGCGTGTAAGAGTAGTAGCGACCCAAAAGCCCGGAGCTCGCCAGGGTGACTGGCCTAAACAGCTAGGGGTCGCCCGAGAAATCATTACGCAAAAGTTCTGTGAGCCGAAGCTCGCCCAGGGTGCTTTTTCTTGGGCCGCGGGTGTTCCGATAAAACTAAAGATCCGCGGCCTTTCTCTTGAGAGCCGCGGGCTGCCAAACAAATAAATCTAGGGCCGCGGATGGTCACTTCAGGAATTTGAGATCCAGCACTGCCAAAAGGTAGTGTTAGAAGCCACGGGTGCCGGCCCGTCCCATGCTACCGATGCGCGTATATAAACAAACTCAAAAACATGTGGCTCTCGAGGTTTCGCGTAACAAATCCACCGCGCAACGCCAAGGTGTAGACGACGGCACGTCCCCTCCAGCTCCTGTAGATGATTTCCGGTTAGTACTAGGCGCGTCGAATTGCGCTAACAGAAAGGAATTCGTTTTCCAATCCAAAGGACATCCGGCTCAACTGCTCTTACGAGAAAGGACAGGAGCATAGCGGCTGAAATGATAATCGAACAAGAAATGAAAATCAATCGATCAAACAAAGACGAACAAGGGCACCCAACTGAGGCGCCGCCGCCTTATATAGCCTCCTGGCTGGCAACGAGCCAATTAAGGAGAGGTCCGGAAGCGATCGCGGCAACACGCATCTCGGCTACCGTGATCGTCGCCGAATAGCGCGGTAACCGATGCCCCCGGCCTCCGTACTTCGAGGAGCGCCTTGCATCGCGAGACGCGACAGAATGCAAGCATACATGTATAGATAGATTAAGGTAACGTAACGCCATTCACGGATAACGACCTTATACTCGTCTGTAGGCATTCGGTCCAGGTTTGTCTTGGAGTCCTTCACCAGGTCGTTGTGCTGATGCAGCATTCTTTGCAGCTCTAGCACGACGTCTGGCCTTGTGCCACCGATAATGCCGCAACGTTGGTCCGCTTGCAGCTGCTCGTTGCAGACGAAGTAAGCTGCAAGAACTTGGGGCTATCAAACTTGGGGCTATCATTGCCATGAGGAAGCAGGGATCCAACTCTATGATAGATCTGTCCCTGCACCTCAAACCTTGGCATGAAACCCTGTTCCTCAACGTCAGGCATGGCGACCGTGGTGCCGAAGGACGTCATCTGGAAGCACGCATTGTACTT